GAGAGAGAGAGAGAGTTTACAGTTGATCCTAACAAATAAATCACTACATTTCTAAATCATAAATCGAAGGAGCGACACCAGACGAATAATCTAGGTTCCCAATAAACAATATCACGTTGAATTAAGGCCATGCAACCAATCAAAAACCCATTTTCCCGATTCCACTTACCTTAAGATCAAGTATCGATGAATACGACTGCCTCTTCGCGAGCTTGAAAGCCCTGAGCAATATACCGATCCCAACCCTAACTCCATAAGATAGCAGAAAGGTCTGGCAAAGGTTACCAATGGCATTGGCTACACATGAATCAGGATGATGATCACAATTACTACTCTCTCCCTGCCTCTGTTGCCTCTGCAACTCCTGGATCGCCTCTCTGAGGCTATCCTCCGCCTCTCTCAACCGTTTCACCGCCAATTTGTTGTCTCTTTGGCCGCCATGGCCGCCGCTTGAAGCTGCAGCCATGGAGGTCATGACGTTGATGTTGCCTCAGCAATGGTGGAGTTAGGGTAAGAATTAGGCTTTTCTAGGTTTAGGGCTTGAGTGGCCACTGGCCATGTTCAGGCAATGAGGAGTAAAAGGAAAAAAGAGGAGTACAAGGAAAAAAGAGGTGACGAGGTTCTCTGATCAGTTAGTTGTGAAAAACAGCAGACAGCAATGGTTTAAAAAGCATATCGGTCGCTCATAAATCGGTAATCCGGATCGAAAATCGGCTGAATCGGTCTTATTAAGGCTTCAAAAAAATTTAAAATAATTATTAAAATTTATTATAAATATTATTTTTTAAAAAATTCAATAAAAAATGAGGGTACTACATTATTAACTTTCATTTTTTTTATCAATTTGTGAATATTGAGATGTTCTTTCTCTGTATAAATTTATTTTAACTATTAAATTTGCATCACATAAAAGAAAAATCATAGAATTATCATGGATAAAATATATAATTATATATGGACTATTATAAAGAGTAGACTAATCAGTGAAAGAATGGCTATTAAAATCTCGTTTTGGCGAAAAACCCTAACCCGCTAAAAAAACCTAAATTATTACAGCTTAACTAACTATAATCCAAAATTATTACAACCTCACGAATTATAATATTATATTTTGAAATTATAATTATTAGTTTACATTTTATAATTATTTTATTAGACAAATAATAACAAATTAAAAATATTTTATAATATTATCTAATTTAAAATGTATTATTGACAACTGTAATAAAAATAGTACATTACATGATTTATAATGTAAAAATTCATAAATAAAATAAAAGATTTGGTTATCAATATAAAAATTAATAAAAAGCGTATAAATTTTGGAAATAACACTTCAATTTTTCAAAAATTTAATTTTTTTAGGTTTCTATAATAAATTTAGTAAAAGAGATTGTTAGTAGAAAGATGGAGATTTCAAATAGAATAAACTTTTTATTTTTTATTTTTTTATACCTTTCATATTATTTACAAAAATAATTATACCACTATATACAACAAAAATTAACTGTTATATAAAAAATTAATTTTTTTATTTTTTATTTTTTTATATTATTTATAAAAATATTTATATTTATACCAACCACTATATACACAACAAAAATATTTACATTTATACCAACCACTATATATACAACAAAAATGCAACACATACCCAAGGGGATTCGAAAACAACAAAAATATTTATACCAACCACTATATACACAACAAAAATACAACACATGCCCAAGGGGATTCGACCTTGGGACCTCAAGTAAAAAAATCAAAATCATAACCATCGAACCATCTAACTACATATAATTATAAATTGCTAATTAATAGACTATATTTATATTTCGTTTTCATTTAATGATGTTTGGGAATTATCTCACATTGAAAGATGGGTATTCAGCTTTGATATATAAATACCTATGCAATATGAACTATAAAATGTGTATAAGAATATTAGGGCAACCTCGCACGTGCGCTTGGACACACGTGTGCATGGGGCACGCTCGCACATGCGCTCGGACACACGTGTGCGTGGGGCACGCTCGCACGTACGCTCAGACACACGTGTGCGCGGGGCACGCTCGCACGTGTGTGTCATGCGTTACGTGTGTGAACCGGATGGGAACCGGAGGTTCCACTCTAGAACCGGGCTGAACCGGATAGAACCGGATGGGAACCGGCGGTTCCACTCTAGAACCGAGCTGAAACGGATGGGAACCGGCGGTTCCACTATAGAACCGAGCTGAAACGGATAGAACCGAATGGGAACCGACGGTTCCACTCTAGAACCGGGCGGTTCCCGGTTTTTGGTTGGAACCGGCACGGGCACGCGTGTTTTCGAGTCGAACCGGGCGAGTCCAGTTCGACTCGCCGTTTTTTAAAACACTGACAGACAACGATTACTGGTTTTGATTCATTCCGTTTCCAATATTTCCTTGAAAAGAAAGGATAGGAGGTTTCTACGAGACCTAAGCCTTATACAAACAAAATAAACCCCCACCTCAAATAATTGTCCGGAAAGCACTTTAGGTGAAGAAAATCTCCTAAAATCAATTTTTAACATGAATAATGAAATTCAAAACTTAAAAATTAATACAGATTTTGTGGATATATGAATACTTACTTTTAGGGCGTAATAAACGATCTAGATAATTTATTATAATATATACTAGTAAACTTTTTTTTTTTTTACAGCCATAATTTTCAAGCCAAGATTGATGAGTTATGAGGTGAGAGGCTTTACTTGTTTTGATAGAGCTGCAGCCGTATCAAAGTATTTTCCTAAATATTTCCTAATAAAGAGGCGAAAAAAGGGAACCTTTGATAAAAGGGCAAAACAGAAAGGATAAAATAATGCAGACTATGTATTCTATAAATAGAGTGAAAATAAAGTTGTTGTGCACTTCTTTTATGATAGGCACATTTGAGCAAGGGAAAAGTAAAGCTTTTTAATGTGGCAAATCTTTTTGTAATTGACACGCTTTAGAGAAAATAGAAGTTTTCTATTGTGTCGCGTGTACTTTCTTTTGTCATGGACCAATTGGAGCCGGTAAAATAGAGCTCTTCCTTTTGAGTTTTGATTAAGGACATGCTTTCTATGCGGCCGGCCCGTATAATGTGGAAATGCGGGCTATGTAATAAATACGTTTTTTAAGTATAATTTGATCTTAATTTTTAGAGAATATATATTCTCTAACGTGGTGATGATGAATATAAAAAATATACATTGAAAACTTAAAGTAATAATTATATTAAGAAACCTTAGTTACTCTTGTTTTTAGATAGACTACTGTCACGACCCCACCCCCTGATCCTATACCGTACATGTCGGAAGGCGGTAGAGTGCGGGACTACGACATGAGGTGGCGAACGAGTGTCTCAACACATATAGAGAGGGAATCAAGAGCAAATTATGAAATAAAACTAAAATCCATTCATCAAGACCGTACTTAAATTCAAAATTCAAAACAAAAAAATTCAAAAATCAAAACAAAAGCTTCAAAGGCTCTAAGAGAGAGAGAGGTGGGTTGATATACAGGTAAGGAGAAGGGGGAGGTGAGGTGGCAATAAGCCACCTCCAAGTAACACAAGGAAGGGGGTGAGGTGGCAACAAGTCACCTCCAAGTGGCACAAGGAAGGGGGTGAAGTGGCAACAAGTCACTTCCAAGTGGCACAAGGAGTAAATCTATGGGTTTAAAGGAGAAAGACAAAAAAAAAAAAAAAAAGAGAGAAAAGAAAAGGAAGTCCTTCATGGACTACTCTACTCCAACAGTTTTGGCGGTCTATTCTCACTCTATTGCTAACACTCGCGGTGATAACACCATCTCATAGTTGTGCGTGCTTGTTCTCCATCGGACTTTTCTTGCAGCGCGTCTTCTTGGTCGAAAAAATCTCGATCCTTACAACCACCTATTTAAGATGGATGTCTATACTTCTGGACCGCATATTGTAGAAATGCAGTCCAGCATAAAACAATTTTCCTTAAGTAAAATACCTTTTTGACTTTCAAAGCCTTGTAAAATACTTATTTTACTTATTTCACATATTAAGTAAAACAAAGCTTTATCCATGTAATAGGAAAGTTTGTATAATGTTGACATTTTGTATTGTAGAATTAAGGTGTGCCCCAAAAATCCATTGGAAAAAAGCTATTTTTATGTTGGAAAACTATCTAGCTGATCATCTCAATGTCGAGATGTATGGGTATGAAAAAATATATATTTTAAGTCTAAAAAATAGCACGTCATGCAACACATGTTTAGACTGTTCATTTTCAAGATTTTTGTGCTTTTAATATACTTGATTTGAACCATTTTCTTATTTTGAAATTTTATAAATTATAAAAGAAAGTAGATTATAAGGTCATCCTAAAAAATTTCAACAGCAATATTTCATTTTATTACAAAGTTTGGAGGTTTGTCTTACTTTGATTTTTTAAAGTTGCAACCTTACGTAAACTGCACCTTTTTTACCATTTGCTTTGGTAAATAAAAAAAATAAAAAAAATAAAAGACAACTTTGCGGCGTGTGGTTTTTTTACTCTGTTTTCAATACGCAACTACGAGGATGAAATTTACACTTACCTCTATTTTTCACTTTTGGAATCAGTAAGATAATGAGATTTTCTTTAAGTGAGTTTTTGCTTGAGCATTGACATAAAACTGACAAAAAAAGGTGCAAGGACTGCTCAATAGCTGAGTACATAGGGAATGAGGTAGTAAGCAAAATGCGTGCATATAAATAGGTCAATTGCTACTCAGGGTAGGGGCCTCTACCTACTGACTAGACCCCAAAAAAAAAAAAAAAAAAAAAAAAAAAAAAAAAACT